AAAGTTGTCTTGGGTCATTCCTAAGTGTCCCCTTTCAAATCTAGGGGGCAAGATTGTGAGTAAGAGAAAGAAAGCAGGAGTGAGGAATATTTCAATCAATCAAACAATCAATCAGAATAGAACTGGAAGGGACCTTGGAGGTCTTCTAGTCCAACCCCCTGCTCAAGCAGGAGACCCTATACCATTTCAGAAAGGTGACTGTCCAGTCTTTTCTTAAAAACCCCAGTGATGAAGCACCTACACCTTCTGAGAGCAAGCTGTTCCACTGGTTATAATTTGTTGGAAGAAATAGGGCTGTGTATAACAGCATACTGAAATCCATTTTTTTTATATGGAAGCCTGAGCTGGGAATGTTAGGAAAAACATAAAGGTCAGTTAAATGCAAAAGAGGTAGGTTTCTAACATCTGCATGGTAAAAGAAGACACAGAGTCAAGAAAGAATGGGTACTGAATAAATAAGGATTGCCAAAGCGTACTGTATTAAAAAATACGCTGACAGAGAATGAATGACTCACAAAACAAATGTATGAAGAGCAAATGCATTTCAGAGGAAGGGGAAGACCGAAGAAGTCCTGTTTGGATGGAGTTGATGAGGTCCTCAGAAGGACAGAAGTGAAATGTTTAAGCAACACAATGAAATGTATGACTTGTACAGTATATGGATTTGGTGGAAGCAAGGATGATTTGCAAATTGTGAATTGGTGTAAACTAGTTTCAGCTACATTTCCTTTTCATTTGTTTAGTATTTCTTTCTCCTTTTCCAATCTGTGTATACTTTGGCTTCCCCTGAAAGTGACTAATGTGATGAGTATTGTCATGCACACGCAACCAATGGCTGTCTAGCATCTGCATGAACACATCCAGTGAAGTATAGCTCATCAATTCTCTGGGTCATTTGTTCTGCTATCAAATTGCTCTTATTCTTACCAAGTTTTTTTTAAATTTGTCTAACAGAATCTGCCTTCCTGCAACCTAAATCCAATATTCTGGATTATTTTGTCCTGCACTCTGAAATGAGACAAAGCAGAGAACTTGACTTCCTTTTTGTGGTATCTTTTCAGGTATTTGAAGAATCCTTTCAATCTTCTCTTCTTAATACTTTCTTTATTCATAGTACTTAGGTTCTAGTTTTCCTCTTTGCTGTTCTTCGAAGTTTTCCCATTTTTCTTTAATCTTCTTTTGTGATGCTCTAATGGTGTTTAGGAGCCCTGGTGACAGTGGTTAAAATGCTGTATTGCAGGCAAACTCTGCCCACAGCCTGGAGTTCAATCCTGATGGGGTTCGAGGTTGACTCAGCCTTCCATCCTTCTGAGGTCGGTAAAATGAGGACCCAGGTTGTTGGGGGTTAATATACTGATTCTGCAAATCGCCCAGAGAGCGCTGTAAAACAATATGGGATGGTATATAAGTCTAAGTGCTACTGATATGCGCAGAAGTGGAGATAAAACTCAAGGTGGGGTCTGACTAAAAAAAGCAACATATTGTTGATATGTATACCTGTAAATATGTATGGCAATTCTGAACCTTTAACTGATCTGGATAGCTCCAAGAGAAGGATCTGGTATCCCATGGCTCTTATGTTGAGAGAGACAACAATATTTTATTTTCATTATGATATCAGAGGAGACATAGTGAACGATGTCACCAGTCAAGGTCAAAATAAACACAAACTAATGTCTAGTTCATGCCTTAACATTACTAACCCAACTCCCCAAATGCTGAATATCTGAGTTCAACTAATCCAGGATGTTCTGGAGACCTGCAAGAAGTATTTGTGAACTACATGTAGCTCTCATATTACATCAAGACAATTTATGGGTACATTCAATAACTATTTGCTCCATGAGATTTTTTGGGGGTACTCTATTATCTGCCTTCTAAACTAGATTTATGGGAAGCACCAGAGGAACTGAGAAGAAAGTAGCCACTGCACTGACAGATAACTTGATGCCATTCTGGAAAATAAATATATTGTGTTTGCCTTTATATTTCTAAAATGAGCAATTCAGTAGAATTAGGTGTATATTTTCTTTGGAAGTCCTAGGAAGAACCATAATATTTATCTTTGCAGCTGAATGGTGGGTCTTTGGTAGCAGTACAACTCTACTCTCAAAACAACCCACTAATATTCATTCACGTCAGTGGGATAATCATAATCAAACTTTTATTTAATCCATGACTTCTTGCAGTATATTTTCAGTAGGAAGTTCCTCATGAGAAAAACAAGTATGCTTTTAACAGCAAGAAAGCTTAGTAGTCTCCAAGTTTTGAGCCATTATTCAAGGCCATTACTGGCTTTGTTTAGGACTGAGAATGAACATTAAGTACTTTATGTATTTTCCCATATGTCCAGTGCTGAGGACACATTCCCCATTCCAAGGAAGATTTGCATGATTCCAGAGAGGTGTTTGCCCTTGTTCCTCAAAGAGAGTTTCTTCTCCAAACATTTCCCTTTTAGAATATCACCAATATTCTTCCTGTATTGTCTTCCTGTGTGGCCTAGATAGCTGACTTAAATGTTTGCCATCCAAATCACGTGTGGCTCTATCTCTACTCAACTGTCCTGAGTAAAGCACTGAAAGACTTCAATTTGGTTGGTGGCCTGCTGATGAGACTCTCATATAGGTAACTGGTCTAAGTTTATAAGTCACTTTTTATTGCAACAGACATTTGTCCTAATCACATTTATCCTATAATTTACATAGGAAGCGACAGCACATAAGTTTAAAACTTATCAAGGAATTTTTTTATCAGTTTCTAAATGCAATAGAGAGCCATTTAGGTGTAGCGGTTACAGCACTGGGCTAGAAACCAGGAGACCACGAATTCTAATCCCATCTTAGATACAAAGCTAGCTAAGTGACCGTGGACCACTTACTCTCATGCCTCAGAAGGAGGAAATGGCAAACCCCTTCTGAAATCTTGCCAAGAAAACTGCAGGGACTCATTCAGACAGTCACTGGGAATTAACACTTACTCAAAGGCACACATACAAAATAAAAGACCACCCCACAACACAGACTCAAACCTAAATTTCTACTTTCTGATCATTTACTGTCACCGTTATAATACTATTAGTTCAATGTCTCTATAATTTTTGTTTCAACCTAACCGAACAACTCAAGAAGAATAAATGGTCAATGTCTGCCAAGATTAGCAAGATCATTAAAGATGGCAGTGATGGCATTACTGATAGAGTTGTCCAAAGAAATGAGAGTTAACTTTTACTTAGATCTCAAATGGCCAACCAGTAATGAAAAAGCCCATTATTGTGGCTAATGGAAGATGAGACTAGAATACTAGTGCTGATAATGCAAGCTGGAACTTACCAGACTCAAAGAAGCAGCTACTGAGAGACAGTCCTAATTAAATGATGCCTCTCGGGTCATAAAAAATCAGAAGCAACTGAATTTCTGAACATCAAACAGACCCACAAGTAGAGACATATTCTGGGATATACAAACAATTTTATTGAAATTTAACAAAATTCAACAAATGCACTTCAAGGCAGAGGAAATAGATATTATACATGTTTGCCTCCAGGATTCCTTTCTGTATGCTACAAGAACAGAAAGGGCAGTGCGAGTGGGTTCAGTTCTACACAACCACACGCACGGATCATTAAAATGAAATAGAACTTTTTGCTTATTCCAAAGATAGTGATATATATCAACATTTTTGTCTATATACCAACATCATCTGCTTTTTTCACAGTATCAGCATCCTATGTAGCCTCCGCAAGCCCTCTCCCTGATCACAGCTACCATTTGCACGAAGAGCAGAGCTGCCAGAAAGCAAGATGAGAGAGGTGGCAGAATCCCAGCAGACAACGGCACGGCTGGAGACACAGTGGACAGGCAAGGAGCCGGCCTTGGAGAAATTAAGAGATGTCAGCTGCTGGTATTCTCCTGCAGCTTAGGAGATGTCAAGCTCGGCAGAAATGAGACCTCCTTTACATAGAGGCTCCATTTAGATGCCTGTCAGAAAAAGAGTGGGAGCAACTTGCTGCGCAAGTCATGAGAAAATGAAATCCAACATAGCCCAGTAGTTTTCTGATCACAGGGCACTTGCTTGCTCAAAAAATAACCAATGGAAGAACATAAACCAGGTATTTTAGAAATGTAGATACGAGAAAGACTGTTACCAACAAGGCTTTCACTATCTCCCATGAATAAAATCTCCAGATTGGGGAGTAGAACGTTCTAATCTGAAGATCAAATGTGATCCAACACTGCTTCTTCCGACCTACTTTTGAGGTAAGCTTCTTAGTAAGCAGCCTTCCCTTCAATTACTCAAGAAGTAGCATGGTTCAGCTCCTTGATGACAACCTATGATTCATTATGGACCATCATGCTGAGATGGGAGTATTTGTTGGCCCAGCAAGTTTGCAAACTCATCTCGGATCCGCAGGATGCTCTTGTTTCACTGCAATGAAATTTCCTTCCCTAATAAAGATCAGAAATGTCAGATTCTGATTATCACACTATTAAAAGTGAATCAAAATTCAGATTTCACTACATAAGGGAGTGTTGGCTGGTTGTACACTTTCTATTCACAGGTAATCACACAATTGTAAATTCATAACCTGATTTCTGAATGGCAAAGCAGTGGCAACTGAATAAACAAATTGCTCCAAGTATCAATCCTAATACAGTATGTGACACAGACTTGTAGCTAAGAGGGGCGAAGATAAGAGAGTGACTAGGTAGACCTCTGTCAGCACTGCTATATGCATTCCTTAACACTTCTACTTAGGCTTTTAATGCTTAGAAATGATTTCTTTGCATGGGTGGACATGAAAGGATGTACATTAACTCACTAATATTGTGATGCAACTGTGTACAAGCTAATTATACTGAACATTGAGGTAGCAATGCCTGAAGTGCTCAGAAAGGCAACGACACACTCTGGGAAGGAAATATGATGTGCAATGAACCCACCCACAGTCCAGTTTTAAAGCTTAATACAAAGTCTGATGGGTGGGTAAAAAGGCAGGCAGGCAGGCAGGCAAGGATCTTTTGGCTGTACATTGCATATGAAAGCCTCTTCATAAGAGTGCCTTTAACAGGGTTTGCCTGATCACCTCTCAGCAGCAGGTAGCTCTACATCGTGAAAGCAAGAAGCCTGGGATGAAGAGGTAGGCATACTGCTTCAGTACTTGCTCAGCTATCAGTACCATAGCAAAACATTTCACATTCATACATCAGGGAGAAGGGCAAGGCCCTTCAAAATAGAAAAGATATAACTTTCCTTTGAAGTGTGCTGCATTATCCCCACATCAGACACTACTTGGCCCAATCCAAGGCGTCTGCCAAAGGAAGATCACAGGATTTTGTTATTATTTGCTGGCAGAGGAAGATGAAGGGGAAAATACACAGCCAAATTAGGTGGCAAACATCTTGACCAAAGCAAAGTTGTCTTAGTAGAGACAGTATAACCTAAGAAAGAGATGGAAACTTTTGTCTCCCCAGCAGTCCCAGAGAACATGGCCGATGATGGAGGATGCTTGAATCTTCAATTCAGCAACATGTGGAGGACATAGGTGGAGGCTCTCCATGTACAACATGGGAAACCAATATGGGAATAAGTTATTCTACCACAAGAATGAAGAGAGAAGTCTGTTCTTCTGACAAGGGGCTCTCCGGAGAAGGTCCTGGACTATGAATCTTATCAGCTCCAGTTAGCAAAATCACACTGGCCCTACAGTCACTGTGCTCTATTATTTATTGGAGGGCTCTAGATGAGGGAAGGATCTTATAGATTCACTTGAAAGATAAATGCTTCCTAAGATGTAATATATTTGGTGCACTTTAACAGAAAAGCTTCATATCCAGATGCTACTTCACATCTTTAGTCCATCTTGCAAAGTTCAAAAAGATGAAACCTGCAAAGAAAATAGTGCAACTCCAAAGGGAAATATAACAAAGAGAGGAAAACCTACGTGTTGGTCTGTTTCCTATGACCACTTCAAAAATTATTCTGTTTTGAAGAGTTTATTAAGTGCAACATTACTTTCCCTGCCTCCACGAAGATATAGTACAGTATTAGTCTTTCAGCCCATGCTTATAAGGTAAGTGGGTGAGTGGACAAAGAAGCATAAGACGTTTTCTGCTCACCTTTACTCATCTTGAAATGTCACTATCAACTTTTGTAAAAGCTGGCTGGGGTAATCACGCAGAATATCTGTTCCTGAAAAAGTGCAAGTTGGCTCTCGAGTGTCAAGACATTTGACATCTGCTGCCACCTAAGCATCAATTAGCAGCTGCTTAATAGGTTCTAGTTGATTCACTGAAGGAAATTTTGAATAGGCTCCTAATCAAGGCCCGACTTTTCATCTGACACAGGTCCCACTAATATACATCCTTAGACAATATTATGCCTGATAGTCAGAAGTGTGCCCAGTGCCGCAGTTGCTGTCACTGCCTCCAAACAGAGAAGCATCAAAGCCTGCTGTCTGTTCGTGCTCCCAATTCATCCTCTGCAGGGACATGTGGCTGCCTAGCATGGTTTACATGTGGTACAGTAAAACTGGGCAAATAAGATGTACTGACAGCACACAGTTAACTTTCTCTTGGCTCAGACCTCACAGATGATAACAGGGAAGTCCACATGAATTCGAGGGTGCTCCAGTTTCACCATGCCCTGGAACAAAAGGGATACAACGTGAGTAAAATGCCACCAAAATTAACTTTCAAGAAGCAGGTTGCAATAATTTTCCCACCTAAGACATTTTGTGCTAAAAAAGTATCTTGCTCATAATCAAAAATCTGAAAACATTAGAAAAGCAAGTAGGTCATACTGTTGGACTGAAGATGACTTGGAAGTAGTTATTTATCTGCAGAAAGAAAACAAGGAATAGGACCAGAAAGTAGTAAGACCCTTGAAATTTGCATCAAACAGCTCACTTCTATCCCTAGAGGCATCAAACTGGTTCTGATCAAATGAACATGGTTCCGATAGATGAAACTCTTCAAAAGAACTTCGAGGCATTGTTTACCTTAAAGAATCTTTTATTCGAGAAACAAAGTATCGGCACTGCATAGTTGAAACCAAAAACTAAATTCCCCTCCCCTGGGTACAATGTAACAAAGCACAATTCCCTCCTCCAATAAACTGTCATAAATCACATTCCCCAATTAGCTTGAAGCACGGGCTTTTTCCCCCAGCTCTCCAGCCCCCCAAATTCTATCAGCTCAGGGCCCAATGATCTTGGGTTCCCACTGCTGAGTTATTATTGTTATGACTAGTTGGACTCTCATCCACATTCCCCCTCCCAGCATCAACTAACTCTAAAAGCAATAGAGGAAAAATGGCTGCATTTCTATCTGTTGTCAAAGCAAGAACACCCGATGTTAGCAGCATTAACACTTTACTTATATTTGCTGACGGAAGACGTAAGGACGGACTGATGGGCCGGCTGGATAATTAGGAGTTCAAATGACAATTGACTGAAACTTTTTAAATCCCTAAATAGATTGGATGATAAAGACTACATACAAAAACAAAATGGATGTTCCATACTTAGCTTCAAATGGTAAAAAACCATCCTTAACACCTGTCCCCAAAGTCCCCAGCTTAACATACCAACAAGAAAATGTTGATGAATTTCAGAAAGAAATTCTTTCTATGTTAAAATCAATACAAGAGACAATTGCCTTAGCTCATGATGAGACTAAAAATAACACAAAGAAGATAAAAGAACAATTTTTCAATCTAAATCTACAAACTTAGAAAATGACTACAAAGAAGGAACTAGCAACCCAGAAAATAGAAGAAAAAAAACAGAGGAAGCAGATCCAAAGATGGAGGACCTAAAGAAAGGAACTAACAGACAGACTCAGACAAACGAAGAATTAGAAGACATAGTGATAATATCAGAAATGGAAAAGATATCTTACCTGTCAAGATCTCAGAACACACTTGAGGATAAGAAAGAAGAGCTGATTGAATGGAAGATAGTGCTGTTAGGAGAATTGTGGGAAATTGGAGAAGGAGGGAGGCTGTTTAATGAATATCAATGGGCTGAGCATCCTTCCAAAAATACTTTAATCAGATTGCCTTTCTTATTCCAAACAATATACACAAAATAGAGGAAGAATTATTTGATAATTCAAATGCATTGATTTGGAAAGTTAGCAAAGGAAGAAAGCTAGAGTAAGACTGAAGAAAATAGAGGTTTTGACCCACTAGATGGGATATTATACTATTAATCAGATGTTTGAACATGGCTGAGAATAGATAATTGTTAGAAATAGAAGTATTATAACTAGAAAGATAGGATTTAATATTTTGGTATGAGAAGGGAAATATGAAAATGCTAAGAGGGTTTGAATAAGGGAAGCTTTTCATTACACAAATATAACTTATTATGAGAAATTATAAGCGATAGAGACATTTTGAACACTGATGGGAAATTAAAATTAAAAAAAAACGGAAAAAACAGGATATTAATTGAACAAATGGATATTAAGTGCAAATGCAATTAAGATATATTTTGGTTAGAAAAGATATTTTAAACCGGCATTATTGATATTATTAGGAAAATGTAACAAAGATGTCGATATTCAATTATATATGTATTAACAATAAGAATTGTATTTGCCTAATGTGGGAAAATGTGTACTACCAGAAGAAGAGAGGAAGCATTGGATGGTGTAATATTGGGCCTATATTGAAGAAGTTAATATGTACCACTGAATTACTAATGGACCCAGAAAACACATTGTTTATTAAGTACTTATGATTGTAAAACTAGAAAATAAAATATTTATAAAAAAATGTGGGCACTTATCAACTGGCATGTATTTACAACATGGTTCCAGCATCCCAATGTCATGTGATCATTATTTGTGACCTTCCAAGCCAGCATCTTGCCAGCGAAGATAATGGGAGAAGCTAGATTCATTCAACAACCACATGATGCACTTAATTACAGCAGTGATTCTCTTAAAAACCATGGCAAAAATGGCTGTAAAACTGGACAGGACTCACCAACCATCTTGATTAGCAATGGAAATTCTGGTCCCAACTGTGTCAGTTAAGGAGTATCTGTAGTGCTTAAGATACTGGGCCTAGAAACTAGGAATGTGAGTTCTAGTCAGTGGTGGGATTCAAATATCTGAACAACCAGTTCTCTGTGTGGATGTCACTTCCAGAAGTCCATTCTAGGTCTGAGCAACAAAAAATTAGCTACCAGTTCTGCCGAACTGGCTGAATTCTACCACTGGTTCTAATCTTGCCTTAGACATTAAAGCTAGCTGGGTGACTTTAGGCTAGTCATTCTCTCTCAGCTGAATCCTATTCACAGAGTAGTGACAGGGGTTGTTGTGGGGAAAATAAGAGCAGAAAGAAGTATTATGTATGTTCAGCATCTTGAGTTATTTATGAAAAAAAATAAAGACAGAATAAAAAATCTTTTAATACTCTTTTTAAACTATAAATGGTAAGTCTCTGAAATCCAAAATATCAAAATGCTATTCAAAGAACAAAACAGTTTTTCCAAGATGCTTAGTTTGTATAGAGAGTATTAAAAGGAAAGCGTTCATAGTTTCTGGGGTAGAATTACTACACTGACAGGCCTTTTGATGGTTAGATCTGATACTGGATGCAGAGATGGCATTTCCAATTAATTATGGCATACCTGTGGGCATAATAGCTAGAGACCAGGGAGAAAAATAAATTTCTTGTATATGCCATGGATCACTACAAAAAGAGCAATGTTTGGTCAAAGCAAAACCAAATCAAGTTATAAAAAAGATACTGTATTTTCAAGGATGACATAAAGGCACTCTACTGTAATCACTGCCTACTTAGTTAACAGGACACCATTTATGTTTTCTACTTTTAATCTCTGGTTATTTCATTTGGATTGTTTAAAAAACAAATATGGAATATTCTAAAGATCTGTTTATGCTTAAGATTATGAGGTTTACCTTCAAGAAATGAGACATTTATTCCTTCAAAGAATAAATCAACAATATAAAAATTACAATGTTTCATTTTGAATAAATATTTTAAATGTCAGGTATAGCAAAAAATCCCTATGAGGAGGCAGGCTGAAATCAACTCCAAGTATTTCAACTGCAGCAATTTCAAAATCTCTGTTGCAGAATCAAACATTTTTCCTCAGATGGCAAAAAGCAATCTTAAAGGCTCTATTTTCTTACAATTCATCCAATGGTATCAACAATTCAAAAAACAGTTTACAAGTCTTGCAAAAATCTAGAAATTAACCAAACTCTCCCTAATCTGGTGCATATTGGATTAGAATCTGGGAGCTTCTATCAAGTGTGAAGATAACCAGATTGAAAAGACTGGATCTTGCTTAGGCTTCTTGAGTCTTAGTTTGAATCCAAAACACAGCAATAAACATTACCTGAGGTATCAGGTTCTTGTGAATTCTTTTGAGCTTGGCACGCTTCCTCCCATTCTTGGTGATTATTGTCTCCTCATAAAACTCATGTGCAAGGTCACCATCTTCATCATAATACATAGAGCTGAAAGGAAATGAGAAAATTTGGTAAAAACCAAGGAGAAAATGATGAAGCAGTGTATGGATCATGTTAACTGCCATTAGGAGGTAGAGAGATGGCACCTGCTGCTGCCAACAGTCTTCAGCTGAACCATGGCAAGACCAAATGGCTTTGAGTGCATGGAGCTTGAAGATCTGGGATTCTGACATCTTTTGACATCTGGATGGGGTGGCACTACCCCAGACAAACCCGGTTCACAGCTTGGGGATTCTCCTGGACTCATGGCTCCTGCCTGAAGAGCAGGTGACAGCCCCGTTGTGTACAAGTTGCAGTCTTTCCTGGATCAGGAGTCCCTGTGCTCAACACCATTCAAGCCTTATAATCTAATGTCTAGAATACTGCAATGTGCTCTACATGGGGCTACCCTTGAAGAGCTTTAGGAAGCTACAACTGTGTGTGACAGTTTTGGGGGTCCCTAGAGTGGCCCAGCTTATACCGTTGCTCTGCAAGTTGCAATGGCTGCCAGTTTGCTTCTGGGTGCAATTCAAGGTGTTGGTTATTGCCTTTAAAGCCCTTCATGGCATGGGTCCAGGTTACTTGAGGAACTGTGTTAACCCAATGGGATTGATCTCTGCCCACCCATGCCAGCAGAGGCATACTGCGGACCCCGTCAGTCAGGGAGTTCCAGCTGGTGGAGTCCAGAACAGCTGTCTCTGATGTGGTTCTTGCTCTTTGAAATATCTTGCTCTCTGGGGTGAGGTCAGCTCCTTCCCTGACCTACAACCAGCCTATCAACCACACAGCCAACCAGAAAGAGCATCAACCCTCAACCAACCCTCACAAACCCCCCCCCACCAGTTCATCTACCAATGATCCTGATCTGATGTAACTTCCCCATCACAAGCCCCTCACTGATGACTCGAGACTCTCACTTGACACACCCACACCTGAAGCCCTTATAAACAGAAGAACACCGAACTCCCCTAAACTCCACTGAAGATGTTACCTAGCTTGGTAACAAAACGTTCGGAAACCAACCCACAAGCTCGGAGAAGAAACCTTCACCCTCCTCCTGACTTTTCCTAAGTTTAAACTGTACATTTAAACAGTCTAATGTATTGCCAAACCTAACTGCAGACACTCTTCACTAACAATCTTGGGTTCTGCAGTAAAACAATGTTCAAATAACTAAAGATATTTACATTTCTGTTTTTTCCATACTTGCAACTCCATATGAAAGCAGACTTGTACTTTGCCTTTAATAATTAATGGAAGCAGAATGAATGAGAATTGGAGGAAGAAATGGGAACAGTCAAGCATATACTAATGCGAAGTAAAATGCTGCAGTCAGACAGCAATGTTATTTCATTTAGAAACTCCCAGCCACAACACATTTCAGTCATTACTCAGAGTTGTGTATTTTGATAAATTTAACTAATTAAAACAGGGAACTGACAGATGCACCATTTTTTACAATGCATAACATGCATTGTAAGATTATAGAATTGGAAGAACTAACAAATCCAACAGTTGACTCAATGTACAAATCCTAAAGCATCCCTGACAGATGGCTATCCAGGAAAAGGGAAGGAAATTACTGAATCTCTGTGTTAAGTCTCACTGTTAAGCCAATTTAGCATCAGCAGCTTATTTGCAAAATTCAGCTCAGGAACTTGCTTTTCTATGCTTTAATTTAAATCCCTTATTCTGCTCTTTGGGATGATGAAGTGCTAGTCTTTTTTGTAGTATACATTCAGATAAGAGTTCTACTATATTTCCCTACTTTCAGCTTTTTCTTTTCAATGCTAAATATTTCTCAATATTCTCTATTCATAAGATTTTATGTATTCTCTTCTGATCATCTTTATAACCCTTTTGGGCATTTGATCCCAATTTTTTTGAATCTTCTTTAAGAAATGTTGTTATCCTGATAATGTTTGCTAACAGTTATAACTGATGTTGCTCCTGACAACTTAGCTAAATCTGGACTACAAAAACTACTGAATTATGAATGTGTTTTTCAAAGATTTTGCAGAATGGGCTGCAAAACACTTCAGATGCTGAATCAATGTCAGAGTAAAAAGCCATTATCACAAGCCATTTGGAACAAGAGAACTATAAATTGAGACTTCTCACTCTCAATAAATACAGCTGATCCGGTAATAGATCATGAAAATTCTCAAAGAGCTATAATTATCCTGCAACAATATTCAAAATTAAAGTGCCCCTACCTCTTTCTCCTCCACTGAACCTTCACCGGGACTTTTTTTTTTACTATTCATATGAAGTGCATTATATATTTTGCAGAAAATAAGTATCAAGGAAGCAAGGTTAATTCTTTAGTCGCTTGTTCCCTTGCTCCAGAACAATTCTGCCTCCTATCACAACAAAATGATTTCTTTCTCCTGAAGCATTTCTAACAATAAGAAAGATAGACCGTATCTTCTGCCAACACCTCTATGCTATTCTTTCACTTTCGAGTAAGCAAAAATCTGGAAAAGGCTCTAATGCTGGGAGAGACGGAAGGCGGAAAACCAGCAGCAAGGTGGATGGATCCAGTTACGGTGGCAATGAATGTACCATTGGAAGACCAAGTTAGGGGACAGATCGCCAGGGAGAAAATCGATGTGGTCACTAGGAGTCAAAAACGACTTGGCGGCACATCATCATCATTATCATCGTTCACGGAGTTGTCCGCGAACTGCTGGCTCAGGCCCTGCAAGGTCTCCCAAAGTGGCATCTCAAAAGCGGCCCTGTCCAAAACGAAAGCTGCCGGAGGGAGAAGTATGGGGAAGATCGGGCAGCTTCGATCTCTTTTCTGCCCCCTCCCGCGAGGGATCGAAGTGGGAAGGGCATCTGGAGGGAAGCGCCCGCCGCCCTGCTTAATTGAGGTCCAATGCTCGGGCGGCCGGGTAAGCCAAGCTTGCCGACCGCATAGCCCGCCCCGTCCCCTCCCGGCTTCTCTCTTACCCGCGGCGGGTGAAGACGAAGGGGGTAGCCGAGCAGAGTCCCCGAGCTCGAGTCAGCGTCTGATCGCCGGCTGACCTCTCGGAGCTGCCTGGCCCACCCGAGCCAAAGAGCCAGAGGCCTCGAGCCTTGGAGCCGCTGGCGCCCATGGCTCACAGGAGCAGCATGACCGCGGAAAGAGGGGCGAGCCAACCGACGCTCCCTGGAGGCCAGCAACGGAGCCTTCCCCGCGCCGGAAACTCGACCCTCCCACGGCGTAACTTCCGGCACCGCCCATTCCGAAAGTCCACTCTGAAGGGGGGGAGGCGCCTTGTTACGGAGGACTATCAACATACTGCAAGTGCGACTTCCGGTTGCCTCTGGAACTGATAACGTTAGCCGCAAACCGGCTAAGACTGGGAGGAAAATACTGTCGGAAGTGGGCCGGATCGGAGGAATCCTGCTGCGGCATTTGAAGATGACTATGTCCCGTTATCTGCTCGTCCTGAAGCGAAAGGCCAGCTCGGAAGATTTGATACGGGTGATCAGAATGCTGTAGTTCTTTCTTAGCGGATACCGTGTAGCCAGGGGTAGGCAACCTTGGCTCTTTTATGACTCGTGGACTTCAACTCCCAGAATTCCTGAGCCAGCATAGCTGGCTCAGGAATTCTGGGAGTTGAAGTCCACGAGTCATAAAAGAGCCAAGGTTGCCTACCCCTGCCGTATACAATCGCTATGGACAGTCTTGGCGCTGTATTTTCTAATGCTGCCCCATGCTATTAAAACACAAGCAGTTTGATAGTTCAAAGTAAGTTTTGGAAAGTCATCCATTGTATCGTGGTGCTTTCAATTTGTGTTAACTTGAATGTTATTTAATGTTATGCAATTTGGATGAAGGAATGAGGCATGGCAGCCATTTGAGTCAAGCTATAATAGGAGATAATGGTTTATCAGCAGTTCATAATATAAGTGCCCAAATAATTTCCTTGTAAACACTTCCTCTCTTGTAGGAGCTCCGGAGGGGATAGGCATCCCTTATTTTGTTGTCCTTATACCTAGTGAAATGGGTTGAGGTGAGAGTTTGATCCATAATTGAATCTGTGCATTAGACTTAAGCTATACACAGGATTCCCCCAGTGTATGAATTGTTACACCACCTAAGCTGTGCAGCCTAGGAGGTAATTTTAGTAAGTTAATAATTTGTTACTTGGTAATATGCTACATGTGACCTCACCAATAGCTGCACAGGAAGCACCGCATATTATTTATAATTGGCTTAAATTCCAGTTTATTTAGTAGCCACACCATTTGCCCAAACTTTCAAGAAGGGTACGTGAAATAAAGAATTTTGTATACTAGAACTGAATTAAAAAATCAAATTTTATGCAATAAATCAGTGATGGCGAAACTTTTAGAAACCGAGTGCCCAAACTGCAACCCAAAACCCACTTATCACCGGGTGCCAGGTGGGCATGGCCCATTGGGTGGGTGTGGTTGTAGTGGTCATGGCAGACTGGGTGGGTGTGGCCAATGTGGGCATGGTCACCTCGATGTTGCTTGTGGGGACGCCTGTGGGGGCCGGGCAGGGTTGGGGGAGATCTAGGGGGTCTCTGGCAGGTGGGATGGTGGGCAGGAGGCTCGTCCTGCGGGGTGAGGCGAGGCAGGGCAGGGGTGCCATTATCGCAGGGCAAGGCAAGGCAGGGGTCGGGGCGGTTGCTGCCTGACACCATCGGCCCCTGCACACAGAGGCCAGTGGTAGCGCATGGGGGCCGACAGTGTTCGTCAGCAGCCACAGCCTGCCGGCTCTTCGACCGCTGCACTCTGGGACTCTGCAGCCCGCCACCAGTTCAGAGAAGTGCCCACAGAGAGGGCTCTGAGTGCCGCCTCTGGCACGCGTGCCATATAGGTTTACCACCACTGCAATAAATTATTTTAGGCCATATTTATTTGATATAGGCAGGATTGTTTTACATAAGATGATACATATATAAATAAGTCTTAAGTGGCTCTGCTTTTTCCTAATGGTAAAGTGTGGCAAGTGATCAATATTGATCACCTTACAGATTGAGGATTTGAAGATTCTTTCACATGGAAGATGTTAGTCTCAGATCACAACTGCTATTTCTATATCCATGATGCCATGGGGATTTCAGCTGAGCTGATTAATTCCACAACGTAAGCATCTCAGATCCTTTTCCATGGTAAATATGTCAAAAGGTTTCCACTGGAAAGAATTGCTGTTAGCTATGTAGAAGTGGCCTACTGTATGTTGTGCACTTGTATTTGTATGTGTACTTGTTATATCAAGAATTGATCTATTTAAAAACACTTGAAAGTTACGGAGTATGGATAAAAGACCAAGATTTAGATTCACCATGAAAGAGAAACATGGTACATCAATGCAGCAATGTACGGCAAGATAGCAGTAGTGTTGCTGCCAAATTTTATCTTAGTTGGAAAGAGATAAGATGTAGTATTCATTTTATTGTCTCTCAATAGTACACAAATGTTCCAGCAATAATACTTCACCCAGAATCTAAACCGATTTTAAATGACTTTTTCCAAAAGCAACAAACTTTGGTTTATACTACATAATAAGTCACTGATAAAATTATTCATGTTTGTGTATTTAATAAAACCTTTGGCTCAACGTGCTATTTCAACCCAGCCAATTTTTAGGCATATCAATCAATTTTGGGTTCAAGGATGGCAGAGGATCAGGATTAAAACACATAGTATGAATATGGTTGGTAGGAACTAATAGATGTGACATTACATGCAATTTCTGGGCATAGTCTTCAAGCAAGAAACTAATATTACACCAAATATTTTTCATCCCTGAATCATTTATTGATCAGTATATAAGCAGTATCATTCATAACCTAATCAATTCCCAAAAATGTTTTATCCATTCAATTTTCAAAACAATGAACAATCCTAATTAATCCATTCAATGTTCAAGATAGTTAACAATTTTAAACAGGATTCCCCAGAAGTGGCAGAAGCCTAGGTTTTATTTTTTAAATATTTTTCAATGCTCTGACAAATATACTTGACTATTAAAGCTCAGAGAGACTTATTGTGGCAGTAAATGCTTCCCATACCACAGATGTTTTGAGCAGCAACCCAGGAAATTTCCTGCTAGGTTCTGCCCAAAACTACATTGTTCCACAGCCATACATCAAGATCTCAGTCATGCATGTGCCCGTATAAAAATAAGTACTCAAAAGCCATGATTATAGCAGAAGAGAAGCCTGAGTTCTGAGATTTGTTAAGCAGCTAGATTCAATCTTTTCATAAAAAGAGCAAAATAAAGGAGATATATTGGCAGAAACTTTTTACATTTTGTTTTTATAGCCCACTTGTCAATGTTTCTGTCAACTGCTTTTCTATAATTCTGAGAAGACAAACTTTAGTCTCTATTTCTCTACCTGATCAGTCTTAGTAATGACTTCAGCTAAGAGGCAGTAGATTTCACTTTAATCAGACTGACCATGAAGTTCCTACTAAAGATGAGCTGAGACATGGCTGAGTGAATTAGACTAGTCCTTTAAAAAGGAATCTTACAGTTAATTACCTATATAAAAATAAAAAATATATATTTTAAAGAAAAGTGCCATTGGATATGCCTCTCTTCCTGGAATGCTTCTAGATTCAAAGCTACTCTAGTTGTTTTTAAGTTAACCATAAATCCTTCTCAATTCCAATCCCAGAGAAACATAACTCAGCAAGTCTTTTACTGTAAAAGTGGACTAACTTTTTGGCACTTTTTTCAGTAACAGTGCTATAGTATTGCCCTAAAACCCCCATCTTCAGACACATCCTGCAAACACCTTTTTATTTTCTCATCTGATCCCAATGTGTCATGCATGCAACATTTACTAACCATTCACTCCACGGGAGCACACATGCACTGATCAAAGGCTCACAAAGAGATCCATACATCCCTGCTGTCCCTTCCCCACCACCTCCAGAGATACATTCATCCCACAGACAGTCGAAGGATCACTTCATTTGCAGTCCACTTGGCTTCATGCTTTTGGCATCTGCTCTTTACTGGAGTGTGGGATATAGCATTTTATCAACCTGGGGTGCGAGCAGCTAAAGCCTCTTGCATTTTTTGGCGACAATGGGCATATTTCTGCAGAATCTGCCGAGTATGCTCCTCTTCTTCACGCTTCAGGATACGAAGAAAATTCTGCAATTCAGGCATGCTAAAGGCATCCCACTGCAAAAAGAAAGAAAATGGAAGTAATTATCACAGTGTGTTTGTATCATAGTGATGAGCTTATGACCACTAATAGAGATCTATTTCATCATCTTTTACATTATTTTTTTAGAATCTAAAATAAAGGACTAATCCAAACAAAAATTCTAGTACAAGAAAAGCAGGGGACCATCATTCTTATGCATAACACAAAAGATACTCTTTGTTAGTGTCTCATGTTTAAAAGAAACACATAAAAATAGTACAAGGGCATGATATGAATCAAAGAGGGCAAATTGGTAATTTCCTGTTCTACAGCTTACAAAACAGCTTTGAGTTATGACTTTAAATAATGTCCAGTTTGTTCTTTCCTAGTGCAGAAAGAAGAAATATTTAGTAAATTTAAATACTTAGGAATATCTCAGAAGGTGGCAGTACCTGAACAACTTTGTCTGGATTTGGAAACTAAATAAGATTGGATCTTAGTATGTGGATAAGATTACTTTGGGAAAGATGAGGGTCATAAAAAGGGGAGATTAGCTTGGAATAGACTTCCTAGAAAGCAATAGCAAATCACTTCCA